AGAACCGCCCAAGCCTATATGGGCCTAGGGGTGGTAAACGAGTTGAGTCGACTTGTCAATTCGATGAGCCGGCTCGAAAAAAGCTGGAACTCGCGAGCTCAATCTTTTTTTTTAGTTGTTTAGTTGTTTGTGAGCTTAGGAGCCGGCTCGCAAACCTTATTTTTCTATTTTTCGAATATATAATATATATATATATATATATATATATATATCTCACAAGTATTAATTATTATATTACATTTTCTATAAAATTGAGCTCCATAAATTTTGAGGTGTGAGAAATTATTTTGTAAGGAGCGTTGGGAATTATCCTCTTTGAATACTAGAGTTCTTACCTCTAATATTGTACGCACATAAATTTGATAGTAGAGTTTTCCCCCTCGGTCGTGGACGCAGACTTATTTTTATTTTTTAATCGAACCACGTAAATTTTGTATTGTTGAATGGTCACATCAACCAAAAGCTTAAGTTGTTAGTTATGTAATACGAAAATTTCAACTTGCTAATCTATTTGAGTTTCGGACACGTTTCGTATTCGACACACAAGAACACCTGACAGACACCTTAAGGGTTATTTTGCAATTTCTGAAAAGTTGGAAGCATGTTTGAATAGCAAAATTCCAAATATTTTTGTTGCTTCCATAATTATTTACATGATTTAATGATCAATTGCAAATTAATAGTTGATAGTAATATTCATTTTGAATATATTTGTACGAAAATATATAAAAATAATTTATACGTAAATGAAAACTTATGCATGTTTATATAGCATATATATAAATATACCCCTACACTTTTAATATTTACACGTTTCTCCCAAGTTCCCGTATCACCATTTTTGGGACATGTGTTTCCCCGTATCGTCATTTTCGTGTCCGTGTTGTTAGACACTGTTAGTAAAATGTATTATTTAATATTTAAATCTCCAATACTAGTAAAAACTTATTAATTAGCAGAGTAAATACCCTTTACCACTAGGTCAAGGCCTGGGCATTGAATTTTTTATTTTATTTAGAAAAAAAAAAAAGGTAAATTGTTGTTAGAAGATTAGTACAATATCCATATTGATATGGTGCATAAAAGGAATTCAAAACTGAGTCAGAAAGAAAGAAACTGATAATGAACTCGGTAACTCACCTGAAAAATGAGATTCTTTCTCACCAAAGCATTTGCCTGAGTCCGAAAACTCGACGGCCCATCAGATGAATCCGCCGCCATGTTCGAAGAAACTTCACCGTACCGTTGCAATTGAAATTTTATTTTTCTTGGCAAAGTTTTTCCATTAGCACTACTCTGTTGTCTACCTTGAATGAATATAAGTTTTTATTCTTTGTTTTTTGTTTTTTTCAAAGCTTAGTTATTAGTAGAATATTACAATAATGCATAATTTAGTTATGCTTAGTTACAATTGGGTGAATTGCATTTCGCGCCCCAAAAATTGCGGGGATTAGCGTTTTGGGCCTTTAAATTTTGGAATTGGCAAAATGCACCCTACAAGGCTACAACGGTTTCTTGAGAGATTTTAACCAAAAGATAGATATATCGCGACATTTATTTCAATTTTGTCTTTTTTCTATAAAAAAGTTAAGAAACTTTAATTTCCGACGAACAGAAGCTTCCTTGTACAAGCAATATTAAAACAACGTAAAATGTGAGTTTAGAATATAACTAGACAATTATTTAGATTTACAAAATTAGAATAAATCACTTAAAATTAGTGTTCTAAAAATCGGTCGAGGCGGCCGATTAATCGGTCTCCGAGGCGGAGGCGGTCCAAAACCTTTACGATTTTAGTGTAAAGGTTTGAAAAATCGATTTTTTGCCTGTGAGGCGGTTTTAGGCGGTCTGAGGCGGTCCGAGGCGGTCTGAGGCGGTCAAACCTTTAAGGCGGGTCAAACTCGGTGGCAAAAATCGGTAAAAAATCGGTTTTTTTATTTTATAATTCAAAAAAAAAATTTGGGATTTTAATAAAAGAAAATATGAGTTTATGCCTTATTTTGTTTATGTTAATTGTTATTGTTAAAGAACTAATGATGTATGCCAGAAATGTTCAAGAATAAATGTAAATTCAAAAAAATTGCTTTTTTATTTATATTTTATAAGGATATTTATGTATTATGATCTTATAATTATTAAACTTTTATTATTTTATTAAGAATATATACATGATGGAGATATAACTATGGTTAAATATCTCTTTATATATGTTTCGAGTATTTATAAATAATATCTAGAGATATATTATATTAAATTTTAAAAACCGATTTATTTCCGATTAATCACCGCCACACCGATTAATCGTGAATCGGTGCCTGACCGACTCGAACCCGATTACCGCTTTTTACAACCTTGCCTAAAATATGTAATATAAATACTACCTCCGTTTCATATTAAGGTGGTGCTTTAACCGAAAAAACAATTCCCATATTACGTGTCACTTTAGGTTTTCTATTTATTTATTTTTACCTAGTTTGCCCTTCATCATTGATGGTTCAAATTCATTAATTGATTACTAAGAGCTCATTTAATAGTACTGCAAAGGGTAATTTGGGGGTTTTCTATTAAAAGTAGGTTATTAATTAGGTTTCTTAATTTGTGTACTAATTTGGGGTTTTCTATTAAAAGTAGGCTATTAATTAGGTTTCTTAATTTGTGTACATTTTCCTTAAACGCCACTTAGAGGGTGTTTGGCTAAGCCTATAAGATGTTAAAAAGAGCTTATAAGATGTTTTAGAGCTTATAGCTCTTCTAAAGTGTTTGATAAATTTTTAGAAAAAGATCTTACTTTTTTTTTAAATAAGATGTTGGAAAGCAAATAAGATCTTTTTAAATAAGTACCTCTACCCCACCTCTTTATTTAAGATCTTATAATGAGTAAAAATAGAAAATAAGCTCATTATCCAAACACTCTAAAAATTAATCCTAAAAATAAGATGTAACAGCTTATCAGCTCTTAAAACATCTTATTAGACGTAAGAGCTTATCAGCTATTTAAAATAAGTTTAGCCAAACACCCTCTTAATATGAAACAAAGGTAGTACTAATGTTAACAATGTACATGTTATTTGAATCATATATTACAACTTTTTGAATCATTTAAAAAAAATAAGCTGCATAAAAAAAACAACTTTTTTAAGCTCATAAAACAATATTTATTCCTTTGTGTTTCATTGATCATATAATTAAATAACAATTTGAAAATAAAAAGTATCAAAAAAAAACCACCAAGAAATAATATATTTAAATGCTAAAATATTGGGATATATTGATATTTGATTAAAATATCACAAGAGATAGGTGGCGTAGGGTGCATTTTGTCATGAGATATGCGATTTGAGGGTGTAATTTGCCAATTTCAAAACTTAAGGATGCAAAGCGCCAGTTCATGTTATTTTCAGGGTGCAAAACGCAAATCACCCGTTACGATCCGCCATAAATCGTAAAATTAGTCAACGAAATGCCATAAGAAATAGTTAATTGATGAGGCGTAGTAATTAATGCATTGTTAGATCTTGAATTATCTCTTAATTAGTACTTTAATCATTATTTTATTTTTTTGTTATTCTTTTTTAATGATATAGTTGTGATTCGGCAGCTCACTGCTCACATACCAACACCAGATCATGTGTATAACTATAAATTATAGTATGGTGGATTTATTTGAAAAACTCATTTTGACCCACAAACCGTGATACATGAAGATATTCATATAAATATTTTGTTATTTGAGCTAAATATTCCTAGTGTACATTAAAAAAACATCGTCTTCATAGGAGAAAATTGATTATACATTTAAAAAATAAAAATACGTTCGCTCCTTTGGTAAGGTTAAATTACGAAGAAAAAAAAAAACTCTTCATATTTAGATAATTACAATCACCCGTCAACTATGATTTTTCTTACACATCCATCTTTACGATGTCAAATTTAATGGAATCTTCTAGATTATGTGGAATATTATCCAATTTGTACCCTTCTGCCCATTCGAGCTCCACATTTTGAAACAAGATGATCGTAAGATGTGTCTCTTCACTTGTAAATATCAAATTGTGGTGCATCGGAAACTGCATTTTTGCACAAAAGGAGTACAAATTAGAGAATATTTCATGGAATCTAGAAGATTATGTTGATTTCGACACCATAAGGGTAAACGTGTAAGAAGATTAATAGTTGAGGAGATGATTATAACTACCCAAACTAGATGTATTTTTGCTTAATTTAACCTTATTTCAGGGGTGACAGTAATTTAGCCAAATTAAAAAATGATTTACGACCTTTCTAATTTTCAAAAGATAAGTTTTAAAAGAATTTAATTGAGAATCTTTCATGTTCATATGAGCAAATGAAAAACAACACTACTTGCGTGATTTTCTACATTTTTATAATGCACCATGTGGTTTTTTTATTTGTGGTGAACATTTGAGAAATATTTCATTTATTTAGAAAATATGATGGTCGTAACTTGTTCGGTTGACAAGATTCAATTGAAGTTACGTTGCATTGTACGCAATTAAATTTTAGTATTCAATAAATTTAGAAGTACTTATTACTTCCCTACAATTAATTTGTAAATAGTAAATACTAGTAAAAATGTACAAACAAAACGGTATATCTAAGGAACATCTTTCCGTCCACAAAAATCCCAGACAGTCACACAAATGTTCTGCATTTACCTATATCGGATAAGTTTAGTTTAGATGAGATAGGAGTAATTCTCTATTGACTAATAAATTCTTTAGCTAGTAGACGTTCAGCTCATCTTCCATTAAAAATAGACAATTTCGTCACTGGTGCAACAAATTGGTAAATCCAGGCATGAATGTGCAATTTATTTTGGTTTGGGGGACAAAACGGCAAAACGGCAAAAGTTCGCGGAACAAAGTGCACTTAACCCTAATAAATATTACAAGTACCACTTTTGTCACATCGTTTCCACAATTATTACCGTTCGGATTACCTTTTGATTGTGATTATTTTAGTGAAATGCCAAGTTTTAATTTCAATTTACAAAACATCTGAACAGTGCAGGATAAAATTGTCAATCCCCTTTGTCAGGAAAACCAAATTCGGGCTTATGGGGATGTTTACAATGCACAAAACTAGCTAATTCGTTAACTATATTCAGATTCATAGTCGAACACGCAGTACTTGTTCTTGCAAACAAACTGTACGACCAGTTCAACTAATCATACATCAAATGTACAAACAAACCTTCAAAAAATATGCCGATCCTTTCCGACGTGTTATCTATCACGAGAGAGTACTGTCTGCTTGAGCCCCTCTTGCAACCTTAATAAATACATCCTCTAATGTCGTGTCCGCCAGACCCCACGCCTTAACAGTGAATCTACTCTTTGCATTCTCGACTGCTTCAAACACATCTGCTATTCTAATCTCGTTTTTTGGCAACTCAAACTTTTGTGTACCTGAGATTTGGTATACCTTTGTTGCGTTTGGGGAGAGCTGTTGTACCAAGTTCTCTACTTCTTCCTCGTGAGTCGGTGATGTTGTCATCGTGAATACATACGATCCCCCGTATCTAGCCTTCAGCTGTATGTCATCTCGGAAAATATGGTAAATAAACGGTTGATATGCAATGCACAGTAAAGATGATAACTCGTGAAATATAAAAATGACATTACCTCTTTAGGGTTTCCAACACATTGCAATCTTCCATCGACAAAAATTCCGAGACGGTCACATAAGTGTTCTGCCTCTTCCATTGAATGCGCTGAATTATCAAATACGATGCTGAAATTACTAAGATCGTAAATAAAAAAGTTTCTTACATAATTTAGCATGTGCGCATGGGTGTGGAAAAGCGAAAGAAAATGAAAGCATTACTGGTGAGAATTATGGCTCTGTTTTGCTTGGCACGTTTCACTACGTCCCACAACATGTTTCTTGAAGCAGGATCTAATCCAGTACCTGGTTCATCCATATACACCACCTTTCGAAAAGAAAAAAAAAAACACAATTTTGAGTAGAATAAGGTAACAACCTTAACAAAATAACATAATGTGAAAATGAACACGAGCCAATTAAAATAAAATAATTGAGGATTTAGCGTTGTACTTTTGGATCTCCGATAAGTGAAATGGCGACACTGAGTCTCCTCTTCATGCCTCCACTATATTTCCTCGATTGTTTGTCTGCCACCCCACCGTGAAATAAGTTCACACTCTTGAGAGATTCTTCTACTGCCTATGTCACAATATAGAAATTTAGATGAAGTTAAAAAAGATCCTAAATTGCATGGCCAATCCAATGACAACTCGTCTCATCGTGACATATTTAGCCAGACATCAAAATGTAGGCCTCGTTTGGTTGACAAGATAATTAATGGTTAAATTAAATAAATTGTATGTGTGCGTTTGTTCATGTACTTTTAGTTCTATACAGACTTACTTGTGTTAGGGCAGCGCCTTTGAGATTTTTAAGCCTTCCATAGAAAAGTAGATGCTCTCGTCCCGTTAATGTATCCCACAGTAAGCTGCACATAATTTTAAAAAAATTAATCAAATTTTACTTGAATAGACTCCTAAAATCACGTATTATATTTAAACTCTAAATCGTCTATATCATTGTGTTTTCGTAATTCATACTCATGCTGGGGACAGACACCCATGCTGGTGTATATTTTATCCATGTCAGTCCGTATATCTAGTCCTTGAACATATGCGGTTCCAGAGCTCGGTTTTATGAGCCCAATCATCTAACAAAATATGATTAAATTAAATGTCATAAAATAAAAAAAAATAAAAAAAAAATCAATAAAAGAACCAAGGCCGAGAACTAACCATGTTAATGAACGAAGTTTTGCCAGCACCATTAGGACCAAGCATGCCAAAGCATTCCCCCTCTGCCAAAGCAAGTGAGACCTCTTTTACTGCAAATTTCTCGGGATTTCCATCCCTACTTGGATATATCTTTTTGAGATTATTGCATATGATTGAATGACTTGTACTCGATTCAAGTAGTAACTGCTCAACCTTCTCTCTCTAAATCAAATGAAAAAAAAGTGAAAATGAGGGATATGATGCAACTATTGAATTAAAAAGATAAATCGAGAAGAAAAATAATTTCCGAAATTGAAAAAATCTCTTGAATATAACAATAGACAATAGGCTACCTCTTGGTCAACATCAAGCTTCTCCATCTGAGCAAAAACTTTAGAACTCTGCCTTCGCAAGCTAGGTTTACGGAAAGACGATTGGAGATTCTTTTGCTTCTTCCGCAAGAAAAATAGGGGATGTTTTCCAGACGACATAACTTGATCTGTGTAATATGCAGTACAAAGAACAACTAACCATTCAACTGCGATAATTATCAAGACCTCTCTCATTCCGTTATTGCTATCGTTTAAATCTTTCCACTGCATTCCATTTGTTCCCATATAATTTCCATTGAAGGCGTATTGTGAAAACTCGTATAACCCACGATAAAGGGAAAATCCTGGGAATAACTCCATAGCGATTATTCCTGCTTCTGCATTGTTTTTGAGAGAGCATCTTTTTAGATATGCAAGCGGAAAACCAAATGACAAACCTTTCGTATATCTACAAATAGAATCGAACACTGTCGAATAAAATGAAAATGTTCTTATTTTGGGTTAGTTAAGTAAACGAGGGTAAAACATGATACATGGCGAAAATTTCAAGTTTGATATATGTACTTTAAATTAAAAGGATCTGAAATTACTAAAATCTATATTTACTATTATAAAAGGTTTTACTTACTTGGGAATGAAGAATCTTCGAGAAACAACTGAAAAAGGAAGCCACCCAAGAGTCCAGTTCCAAATACCATCATATACCCCACAACTGAGAATTTTTACGATTTTAGTAAGTGATCAAGAAATATTATTGAAAAAAGAAAATAAACATGAAGTAAATAGATTGGTTATGCCGAGGTCACACCCGTAGCAGTCTTCACATACGAAAACCAATCAGCAACAAGAAAAGCCAAACAGATTTGCAAGTTTATGTATAGGAAATAAAACACAAACTGGATGCCGTAATCGTTTAGTCTGAAGAAGTTTAACCCTGAAAACCAAATATATCAGGGATTAAGTTAAGCAACTTCTACGGAACCCGAAAAGGATTTAATATATAATTTGTTTTACCGATGGCAGAGCCAAATATGACAAAGCATAGCATGTAGATTGAAGATATCGCTAAAAAATAAGCATAAGATATCATCCAATAAGGTCCATCTCCGAGCCCGTGCATTTTCATCATAATTCTTAGTTTGTGCTTTTTTTCGTAAACCAAAGATAATAGTACAACCTGCAAGGATAAAATAAGAATTATAATTGGCATCATGAAGTACTAATATATGTCTAAATATGTAATTCTAGTAATAAAATTATTCATCCAATAGCAAAAACCAAAGGAGCAAATTTTATGATCTCAATGTAACATTTCAAATAGTTATAGACTTTCAGCAGAAAAGAGATACGGTTAGAGACGAGTCGTGCACATAATTGAAAATATTAATTGGAACTTACGGGAAACAGCTGCATAATAACCCATGTATAGAAGAGTGGCCCAAGGAGAGAAGAAAAATCCAGCCTAAGTTTCGTTTCGGGCTTTGGCATTTCTTTCACAAACTCGAAAAGTATTTCTCTAGTTGGTCCAGGCAGAAATTGGAGATAGGCATTTGAAGCCTTTATATGCATACCATTTGAAACATTAAAAAAACGAAAAAAAAAAAAGCATCAGCAAGCCAAAGATAAAGTACAAACTCTGTTGAATTGAAAGTACTGAACAGAAACAAGATTAAAATAATTAAATAAAAAATATTTAAGCTCAAATACATTGAACGATAAAAAAGTGAGAAATTTGTACACAGTAAGAGAAGGTAAGGATTTATATACCAAGTTTATTGAACGAGCCACCCGGACCAAGGCGAGAGGCTTATTGCCTCTGTCACGCTTATACGTAGAATTGTACCATATAGTAACATTGAAGAGATTCTTGTTTGAATTCACAAAATCATAAGCTGTGAAACAGAGTATACAATGAATTAGATGATTAATTCACATTAAATTGGTAACATTTTTTCACAATACTATTCTAGTCCCAAACCTGCTAAAATTTCATTAATTTTTCTCTCCGAATTACCCTTACGGTAACCCTTGTATAGCTCATCATTGATCTCGGAAGAACTATTGCGCCACAATTGTAAAACTTGAACGCAACGTACATCTGCATTTTATACCCGATTGCAAGTCGTAAGAAAAAGTTAGGGGACCTTTTTCGTGCACCGGTATGCAAATTTGAATTCGAAATCTCAAATTGAAGATCTTAACAAACTAAATTAAAGAAAAATAAGTCCATAAAATCGACCTTTTTGCAATGTAGCAGAACCTAACTGCATAGCAATAGAAAATCGAGAACTTGACAGGCATTGAGGTTGAAGAAAATCAACAGGAGCCTTTGAAAGAAAAGCTGAATCAAGAACATTATCGAACCGAGTCTTTGTTTCCGTACCCTGAAGAACAAGAATCCCATATATAAGTCGTCATTATCATAAAATAAATTACTAATTACCATAAATGTAGTACTAACCAAGGCATTATCAGCTAAACTGTGCAGAATATCTGAGGAATTTATATTTAATGGCCTCGATAACATGTTTTCAACCACCGCTATAAAAATCAAAGGATAAGCAGCCATTAAGCACAACCTCACGCTCCCCATAAACACGAGATATTAAATAAGTTAGCATAATTCATTCGACGTACTTTGAGCAAATGTTTGGTTATTCCCTGTAACAAGCATAGATACAGGACAAGAACCGGTTCTCTTGCATGAATCTCCGGTTCTAACAGCACGGAATTGCAGAGCTGGCACTTGTAATAACAGAGGCCATTCGGGAGGACGAGGAACGGCACAAAAGAAGCCTTGTTTCAGAGTTGAGTATTCGAAGCCACACCTTGTTTCACATTGGCCATTCCCTGTATCGACACAAATGCAGCCACACCCTCTTGAAGGATCATCTAATTCACTGTTCACCCATTTTTGAATGAAAACAAGTAACAAACACAGGAAAACTGGGTATAGAATGAGTCGAATGTTCGTCTTGATATTGCGTTTCTGCGTCGAAAGATAAAACCATGGGAAAATTTATTGGGGATATCAAACATCAAATTAAGTCCAACTATTTAGTTAATCATGGCTTATCTTGGCAACCAAACGGGGCCTTAATAAATTGAAAACACAATCATAAATCACATTATATTTTTTTGAACGAGACCACACCATCTAAATTCATTTTTTTTTTCTTCACGGCCCCATTTTACACAATTTTTTCAAAAAAACCTCTTCACGTTCTCCATAAACCACTCAAAATATACGAAGGAGGACATTATGGAGTCACAATATATCAATATGGAAGATTCTATAACAAAAGAAGAAAACAAACTATGGATTAATATATTTTGATAGTTAGGTGATAAAAAATAAAGAGTTAATTACAGGTGAAACCATAGTTTGCACTTTTTAATTACATTCTTATTTTAAAAATAAATATAACCCACATTCATTTTTTTAGTATTCATTAATTTGCCCTTATGCCCTAAATCTAGATCTCTTTCACTCTCGCTCTCTCGCATGCGCTGCCATATGGTCGAGGGAGGGAATGACTATGAAGGTGGTGGACGCGGTTGTAGGGCGTGGAGAAGATAGATGCGAACGGCATAGCCTCCCCTCAATTTGCGCCTGGGCTCCTCGAACAAAGGAACATCGAGCCTCCCAACGCCTCCACATTGGTATGATATTTGGCTTTGATACCACACATTGGTATGATATTGTCCAATTTGGGCCGGACCCAATTGATTCTGCTCTTAGGTTTCCCCAAAATGCCTCATATCAATAGAGTTGTTATCCCTTCCTTATATAAGAGTGATCATTCTCATATTAAACCGATGTGGGACATTGTTTACAACTCAACAACCACACAAACACGCAGTAGTTCGGCACATTGTATGCGAGGATCATGGAAGACAATGAAAGGAGGACGACGACAGAATGGTCAACTTTGACGAGTCCTGGCGAATGATGAAGAGCAGCGGATATGCCGCCTATTGGAGATATTAATATTAAATGATACATTTCACCAAGAGCTTAAACTTTTGGTTGAGATGGTCATTAACATGGTATCAAAGCCATGCCAAATGAAAAGATCATGAGTTCGAATCCTACAGTCACTCATTTCAAGTATTTCAAGTGCAAGGCTTCAAATGTAATTTGTCTGCACTTGAGGGGGGCGAATTGAAGATATTAATATTAAATGTGATTGGGCTTATTATAGGAGGTGTGGTATCTCGATGCAATCGAGAGTAGAATGGAGTAAAGTGATTCTCACCTAGAGTACAAGCGGAAAGTTGAATTTGCTCTTTTTTCTATTATTATCCCCTCTAACCCTAATTATAATCGGCGTGATTTATTAAGAGTTAAGACTTTTTTTTCTATTATTATCCCCTCTAACTCTAATTATAATCAGCGTGATTTATTAAGAGTTAAGACTTAAAAGTGCCATATGGCAAAAAATTAGTAGAATCCGATTTATATTAAATATCGGCTGATCCGCTCAGAATTTAATCTCAAATAATAAAACTAACCCAACATAAGTAAGTATTAACATAAGCATAAAAAAAAAAAAAAAAAAAAAGAAAAAAGAAAGAAAAAAGAAAAAGGAATCCAAGGGTTGGGGCAGAAAGAAATGAATAATGAACTCACCTGAAAAATGAGATTCTTCCTCACCAAAGCATTTGCCTGAGTCCAAAAACTCGACGGCCCGTTCGACGAATCTGCCGCCATTTTTGAAGAAACTCGACCGTTGCAATAATTGAAATTTTATTTTCCTGGGTAAAGTGTTTCCATTAGCACTCTCTTTGTTCTCGAAAACCTCGCTTTAACGTAAGTTTGGAATTCTAGGCGGAATTTATCGGCATTGAATTTAGTTGTCGATCTTGAGTTTACAATCCTCCATAAACCGTAAAATTAGTCAACGGAATTAATTCTTCCATAAGAAATAGTCTTAGCAAAAGTCAACGAAAGAGGTTAATTCTTAATTGACACTAACATATATCCGGCATCGTGATTGAGGAAGAGTAATCTCTTACCTAGTATTTTATTATTATTTTATGGACAGAATGGACTTCACCCCCTACAAATTTTTCATTTTCGCACTTTATCTCCAAAAAATTCACCCCATTTAAAATATTATTTTGGTTGCACTTTGCCCCTGAAGCCAGTTTTTGGTGGGCATTGTGCAACAACAATAACATTTTAAAGGGGCAATGTGCAAAAAGATAATGTTTTTAAGGGGTAATGTGCAACAAAATTAACATATAAAGGTGCAATGTGCAACAAAAATACTCAAATGTTGATGAATAATCAATCGAAATTTTGCTATCTGTGCAATGTGCAACAAGAATAACATTTTGAAGGGGGTCATTCATTTTTTAAAAATTTGAGGGGGTTAAGTGCAAAAAAATAGAAATTTTTAGGGGGTGATGTGCAATTTGCCCTTATTTTATTTTTGAGTAGATATCACTTAACCTCATGTGGTTACAAACTTTTGCAGATGACCTCTTTGTGCTCATAATATCACCACATAACCCCTTGTGGTTAATAGGGGTCGCGTCCATTAGTTTTTTCCGTCAAAATTAATTGTGCGTGTCTAACGTCAAATACTACGTTTTTGCAGATGACCCCCTTATGCTTTACATTTTCCCTTTAATTTTTGCAGATGAACCCCTTGAAGTGTGACACACGCGGTTAAATTTGACGGAAAAACTAACGGGCGCTACCCTTATCAACCACAAGGGGGTTATGTGCTGATATTACAAGTACAAGAGGGTCATCTGCAAAATCTTGTATACAATAGGGGGGTTAAGTGTTATATACCCTTTTTTTTGTTAGTGCTTTTTTAGGATAAATAAAAACAATTAATCCCCTGTGGTGTGAGCTTTGAGTACATGACTCCCTTATATTTTTAATATAAGCACATGACATTTCTGTAGTTTGAACTTTGTGCACATAACTCCTCTTGTTCTTTTAATATAAGCACATCACCCATTTATGATATTTCACTTGGTAAATAATCAGGTCCATCAGGAAGATGGAATTTTTGAAAGTACAAGGGAGTTATATGCTTATATTAAAATATAAGGGGATCATGTGTACATAGTTCAAATTACAGGGGCGTAAGTGCTATTTACCCTTTTTGTTTAATAATATTATCGTGATTCGGCAGCTCACTTACCAAAGTCAGATCATTATTCAGCATGCATAATGTGGGAGAATTTTCGAAAAATTCCGTTTGACCCACAAACCATTTATACATTAAGATTATAATTCACATTTTTTTATTTCAGCTAAATATTCCTATTATACATTTAAAATATGTCAAATTGATAATACATTTATTTAAAAATATCTGAACCTGCTATTAACCTTTCTGATTTTCAAAAGATAAGTTAAAAGGAATCTAATTGAGAATATATCTTCTTCATAGGAGTAAAATATTAAAAAAAACAACACTTGCGTTTTTATTTCTGCATTTTGATAACGCGTTATGTATTTTATTTAGATATATGGAATTTGAAAATTCTTTGGTTTTAGAAAATTTTATGGTGGTCTATGAAATGCTGCATCGGGTGATCTCTTGTACCATTAATTATATAAATAATTACCCACTGAGTACACACACATGGGTACCATCTACAAAACCAACCCATGTTCGATTGACAAAATTTAAACCAATTTCGACTAGCAATAGAATTAAAGTCGTCTGCAGTTAAATTCTAGAATTCAATAAATTTAGTATTAGGCTCCTTCGATTACATACACCGCGTTAATTTGTATTAGATATGATTGGATTAATTCTCTACTGCTAATTATTTATTAAGTTAATAACATGTTCTATTCCTAGATTAGATATATGTTGTCTTTAATACGTTAAATTCTGAAATTATATGTGATTTATCTATAAAATCTTTTATTTTACGAAATTAATTAGCATGTGGTTTTAGGGATACAAAACACGATCGCAGATGTACGTAATATAATAAGGGTTTGTGACCTAAGATCGATTTCTTCATATTTTCTAGATCAAGCTCGTTTTAGCTAATACTTTCTACCCAGTACTCCAGTGCAGGTTACACCTCTCATATGGTCAGGAATGGAATTTGTTTTTATTTCGTTTCATTCGTATACTCGAATTTCAGTTTCACTTAATCTTAATCGTAAAAGATGTAAAATAGAGAAAATTGATATTTCCGTCCGTTCTAATTGTTTTCCGGCTCTTGTTTGTCAGTTTTTTCAAGCCAAAGAATCGAGCAATGATGACACGATAAACTTGCCATATTAGATTTAGATCGTCATATCTCGATTGGCATATGTTATTATTCACGCAACTCATAAATTCACTGATATTAAAAAAAAAAACGCATTTATAAAAGTATGAGCGATCTATAAATCATATTTTTCTAAATCCGGAAATTCTACGTATTTAATTAACACATACAATCTTGCTACTAAATTTTGGTAACGTACGATGTTTCTCTAGCTCGTCTGCATGCAAGGTAAATTTCGATGCCGTCCCGATCTCTGCTCACTACAACGAATTTTTTCTTTAAGATCCTACAATCAAAACATATATCGTCTTTTACGATAAATCATATCTTCCAAGACGTAGAGTGATCGTGTCCCTGGAGATATATAAAAAATGATAAATAAAGTTTGAATACATTTGGTGCAATTTTTTTCTTTTTTTGTATGGGTGTGAAGAGTAATTTTGGAATGAATTTAATAAGGAATATAACGCAAATGTTTAATTGGGTTTGTCACGTGCGCCAAAATTTGTGAAAATTCGCCAGAATATTCCCTCTGGTGGTTAAGTGAGTCAAAATAACAGATTTTGGTGTGCTCATGCGATTTCTTTTGTAAATATAGATAACAAAGTGAAAAAACGGACAAAATTCAGGTGACAAAATTCTTTTAACCCTTTACTTTATTTTGGGCTCCCTTTTAACCCGTGATAGGCATAGGATTACAGTTAACAAGTCTTTTTATATATCAAAATCACCACTTCCAGAAATGAAATACCCATCAAGTGAGATGGCGAGCTTCTCGGCCGGAAGTGTTTCGTTCGTCGTGTCAGAGATGAAGAGACATAAGATGTAAAGTTTTCTCAAATACGGCAATCGGGAGTCCTTTTATCTAAATAGGTTTCGGATAGAAAATCACGGGGTTTTTTTTTTTTTTTTGTAAGTTTTTACGGAAATAACCCCAAAAGTTTCGTGTCAGGGTTGTCACGTTTCGATTTCCAAAACATATCGAAAATACGGAAACACACGGGATTTTCCGTGCATCCTAGCCAGTGAGCTAGGTAAATAATTAAAACTAACACAAAATAAGTATATATTAACAGAAGCATGAAATAAATAAATAAATAAATAAATAAATAAAGATTACAGAAAGAAATGAAAAATGAACTCACCTGAAAAATGAGATTCTTCCTCACCAAAGCATTTGCCTGAGTCCAGAAACTCGACGGCACATCTGATTTGAAATCTGCCGCCATATTTGAAGAAATTTGACCGTTGCAATTGCAATTTTGTTTTTCTGGGTAACCTTTTTCCATTACAACCCTCATTTGACAAAGAGAGAAAGAGTTTACAATCCTCCATAAATCGTAAAATTAGTCAACGAAATTCTTTGTTAAGAAATAGTCTTAATAAAGTCAACGAAATACTTCTTTTCTTAATTGTCACTAATATCTGGCATCGTGATTGACGAAGATATAGTATATCGTACTTAGTACTATTTTATCATTATTTTACTTTTTGTTGTTTTTTTGTTTTTTTGACAAAATGCACTTCACCAGATACAAATTTCCTATTTTCGCACTTTATCCCCTAAAAATTCAAAAACCGGATAATCCCCTTTAAAATATTATTTTGGTTGCACTTTGTGGGCATTTTGCAACAAAAATAGCATTTTAAATGATCAATGTGCAAAAAGATAATATTTTTAAGCGGTAACGTGCAACAAAAATATAAATGGACAATGTGCAACAAAAATACTCAAATGCCGATGAATAATAATCCATCGAAATTATGCTAACGAGGCAATGCGCAACAAGAATAACATTTTGAAGGGGACATTCCCTTTTTAAAATTTTGAGGGGATAAAATGCGAAAATTAGATTTTTTAGGGGGCGATGTGCAATTTGCCTTTTTTTAAATGGTAAATAACACTTAACCCACTGTGATTTGAGCTTTGTGCACATAACCCCTTATACTTTCAATATAAATATATGACCTTCCTGTAATTTGAATTTTGTGCACATGACCCCCTTTAATTTTTAATATAAGCACATGATCCCCATGTAGTTTAAACTTTGTACATATGATCCCCTTGTATTTTTAATATAAGCACATCACCTCATTAAGTATTCCATTTGGTAACTAATCATGTTCACTGAAAGATAAAATTTTGAAAGTACAAGGGGGTTATGTGCTTATATTAAAAGGTAAATTACGGACACCCCCTGAGGTAAGGTCAAATTACGAAAAAAAACCTCCCCCTGTTTGGGTAATTACAACCACCCTCAACTATGAATCTTCTTACACATTCATTCTTACGGTGCCAAATTCAACATAATCTTCTAAATTTCGTGGAATGTTCTCTAGTTTGTACTTATTTAGTGCAAAAATGCAGTTCCTCGTGAACCACAATGTGATATTTATAAGTCAAATGACACATCTTATGATTATCTTGTTTCAAGAGCTCGAATGTGGTAAAACGGGTACAAACTGAAAAATATTTCACATGTTAATGTGCA